TTTTTATTACTTAGTTATTCTTCGTATAATATTTTAGGTTTCTCTGATATTATAATATCAATAGGTACGCTTGAATTTATTCTTCTTATGAATTTGCTGCTCAGGTAAACAATATGTAACATATTGTATGTATATTTTATAGAAAACTTTATACATTCTACAAAGGTACTGCAATGAACAGGGAACATGTATGACTATGACTGTAAGACAAGGGAGGGCGGATTTACATAATATATCCAATTCAGTATTTCGCTTTCAGAACAACTTTAAAATAACTTTTTAATAATTTTATCAGATTCGTTAAAAAGTTGGTGCATTTTTAAATACTATTAAATTAAGTACAGGGTGCTGCAATTTGGAGTGTTTCAACAGGAAAAACCTACTTCTAGACCAGATAGAGGAAAATTGACTTAGATGTCATGGGATCGATTCCAGAAAAAAATCGATTGTCAAAAACCTTATCACGATATCTTCAAGGGTACTATCGATACAGAGCGATTTTCGATTTTCCCCTATTAGGAAAAATACCAAGCTGAAAGTTTTTTATTTATCAATTTTCTTTATTTCTGTAAAAACATTATGGATATACTTTTCGCTCCGATTTCGAGATATCGGCCAAAGTCCGATATTTTTAAATGAAACACCCTATACAGTGTGGTTATTTAAGTGTGCAACATATGGGATTTTTTTTTAGTAATAGCACAATCAAAATACAAACAAGGCCAAAAGATGGTACATGTCTGATAATCATATTAGGTGCACTTAGAATGGTTGCAAATCAAACAGCTTACAGGGTAGCTCAAAAAATATCTATCTGTTGAAATTGAAATTAGCAGAAGCAGAGCTATCCAATGAGCTATTATTATATAGGGTGTCCTATTTAAAAAAATCGGACTTTGGTCAATATTTCAAAATGGGAGCGAAATAGAAAAAAAACTGAAAACGCCACTGGATTGTGCTCAAAAAAGTATCCCAAAGAAGTTTTCACAGAAATAAAAAAAAAAAATTGATAAAACAAAAAACTTATTTTTTTACAAAATAGGGGAAAATCAAAAATCGCCCTGTATTAATGGTACCATTGAAGATATCACGATACAGCTTCTGACAATCGACGTTTCTCGAAAATCAATCCCATGTTATCTAAGTTAATTCTCCTCTCTCTGGTCTTAGACCCTGAGATTGTTTAGTGGAGTCATTTTTTTTTGTTTAGTGGAGTCATTTTTTTTGTCTGGCATTTTGAGGGATGAATGTGGCTAGTTAGCTGATGAGAATATAAGTGGTTTTAATGCCTGCCCCCTGTTCGAAATGTCCATAGAATGTTTCGCCGCAAAACTCGATTTCGAGCTGTGATTACCGTCTGGCAATTTTTCAGCGTTATTTTCACAACAAAACCTTGTATTCTCTCGATTCCCAGACAAAAAGTAAACGCGAAAGGTTCTTTTCTTTCCTTTTGGAAGTTGACACCCATCCCCACTTTTTCAGCTATTGAAAAGCATCTGGTATTTTTCATGGGTGAATTATTTATGAATGTCAATTTTTTATTTAAAAGCCAGAAAATTTGAGATAATTTCTTCATGTAATCAATTTTTTTTTTCTGCAAATTTTCGAACGGGAGGCAGGCGTTAAAATCACCCATATTCTCATCCAGCTTTGTAGCCACATTCAGCCTTCAAAATGCCAGACAAAAAAAAATGACTCCACTAAAGAGTCCCTATCTCACAGTATATCTGGAAGCATGTTTTTCCTGTTAAGACACTCCAAATTGCAGCACCCCGTACAGGGTGGTCCAATTTTGACACTTTTAGTAGAAACCGTCAATTTCTGGGCGAGATACAAAAAAATGAACCCCCCACTCTAGGGTTCAAATTTCATGAAAAATGTATTGGTGCAAACCGCTAGGGGGCATATCTGTTTTTGTCATAAGAAACAATATGTTGAAGAAGAACTTTATATCTGTAAGGAAAAAGAGAAAGTTCTCTTTCTAACACGTTGTTCCTTGTGACTGATCCAGATATATTTTTTTTCTCGAAAGCTGTTAGAGATAAACCTATCAGAGTTTATCTTATTAAAATCAGCAAAAGCAGAGCTCGCCAATGAGCGATTAAAATATAGGGTGTGAAAATAATATGTTCCATTTCCGACACATACGCCTTTCGTTATAGGGTTTTAAAATCACTTTTGCTGAGCATATGCCGCCAAACGGCTTGTGTGGGAAAATGAAAATGGTGGAACTCCATAGATTTTTTTGTCAACTCTTTTTCAACTTAATATGTAATGTGCTCCATGTCCGACACTGGCGACACTCAAGCCTTTTGTTACAATAGTTATAGAATCACCTTTTCCAAGCATATGCCAAACGGCTTGTGTGAGAAAATATAGTGGAATGTTCTAGATTTTTCTTGACAGCTCTTTGTTAAATAAATAATTCATCATGATGACCATGTCCGACACTCAATCCTTTTGTTACAATATTCATAGAATCACCTTTTCTAAACATATGCCAAACGGCTTGTGTGAGAAAGTAGTAGAATGTTCTAGATTTTTCCTGACAGCTCTTTGTTGAATAAATTATGTAAAATTATTACGATGACCATGTCCGGCACTCAAGCCTTCTGTTATCTAGCCTTAGAATTACTTTTTCCAAGCATATGTAAAACGGCTCGAGTGAGAAAATGGTGGAAATTTGCATACAATTTTCCTGCTACTTTTCGACGCAAGCCTACGTTCCGTTCACATCCGATAGCCATGCCAACTTTATTATGATTTCTAACATATCAATAACATTCTATAGTTTCAAAGGCTTGCATGGAAAAATGACTGAAAAATCGAAAAAAAAAATCGGTCAAATTTTCCGACCTCAAAATGTACTTATCCATTCCCGCCACTCAAGCCAATATGTTTTTCGGGGTAGTGACGATGAACGTTTTCATACTACCGATAGACTTGTGTGCAAAAATCGGTCGAAATTTCGATTTTTTCTTACAAGATGAAGCCCTTTTTTCAACCCTTTAGCCACCTGCAGCGCTCAAGCTTTTGGTTTTTCGAAGCTAGGTTTTCAATAATTAATCATTTAGTAACATGGCTTGCGTGGAAATATAGGCAACAGACACGTTTTATTTCGGTTAAGGAAAATCGAATTTTCCATATTTTATCCCCAGGGGCGACTCGTGAATTTCACTTCATTCTACTCAACATCGGAGTACTTTTCAACCCTCTTCGAGGCTTGTATGCGAAAATGGGGCACCTAAATCTGTCATTATCTGACGGTCTAACATGATTTGGCTGGATTTCTGAGTTTATCTTGGCGACCAATGCAATTTTTTTCGATGGCAGCTGCTCTATCTGTGGTAATTCAGCTATTTCCGAACTAAATAGTCGTACCACAGCTTTTTGGACTACAGTTATGGCGTTGTCTTTATTCAGTAAAGATCTTCCAATAAGAACGGGGGAATTCTGTAATTTATTTGGCACAACAAATATGTCTACATGAGTTTCGTACAGATCTACAGCCAGATCAGCGTGAGTTACTTCTAAGACCTTTGTAGTGCTACCTCCGTACCCATTGAGACAAACATCGGTGTCGTTCCATTGTAAACCTGGTTTTAGTGCATCACTTTTATGAATAATAACCACTTCGCACTTGAAACAGGCTTAGAATATTCCAATATGAATGTGGTAATTAATGACGATGTTGATACACAAACAAGCTATCACAATAGAGATTGACACAATGATATTCCAGATTGGAATCACTTCATCTCACCTTCCACAACTGAATATGATACTGGAGCAGGATATAGGTACAAACAATTGAATTGGAAACAAAGTCATCTTTAAATTTATTTTTCCATGCATGTCTGTTGTATATTTTAAAAGGAAAATCGTACATGACATATAGACTGTGAGATAGCGGCTGTTTAGTAGAGTCATTTTTTTTTGTCTGGCATTTTGAGGGCTGAATGTGGCTACTAAGCTGATGAGAATATGGGTGATTTTATTGCCTGCTCCCGTTCGAAAATTTGCAGAAGAAAAAAATTGATTTACATGAAGAATTTTTTTTCAGTGATCTCAAATTTTTTGGCTTCTAAATAAAAGATTGACATTGATTAATACTTCACCCATAAAAAAATACCAGATGCTTTTTAATGGCTGAAAAAGTGGGGATGAGTGTCAACTTCCAAGAAAAAAGAAAAGAACTTTCCGCGTTTACTTTTTGTCTGGTAATCGAGGGAATGTAAGGTTTTGTTGTGACTATTTCACTAGAGTGTATTCCACTAGCAATAAATTCGGAATTCAGGTGACAATATTGCTACCTGGACAATACCAACAACATGGTATTTCAGCGCCAATTTTTTGACATTGAAGTTTTTATTCACATTTTTGCATTCCATTTATTTTCAAAATCTTACGTGAAATAGTCATGACGAATACCACTCGAGAAAAAATTGTGTAGGCAAAATTGTTCTCAAGGTTTTATTCAAGTTTGTTGCTTTTCGGCAATTTCGCGAATGACATTTTTGACAAAATCACGAGCCGTCAGCACCAAACTTTCATACCTCTCGAAAATTTTGCCGACAAATTTTTTTCTCTTGTGATATTATATATGAAAATAAAACTGGAAAATCGCCAGACGGTAATCACAGTTCGAAGTCGAGTTTTCCGGCGAAACATTCTGTGGACATTGTTAGAAAGATTTTTTTTTTCAGGTAATGACCAACGTGAATACAGGAACACAACGGTCCCTGTTTGGGAATCGACCCACTGAGCAGTGGACCCAGACTTCTCGTGCCAATCCTGGACGCGTTTCGTCCTTGTTAGGACTCATCAGAAGGACATAGGCTGAAGCTCCCTGTCCAAGCAAAATTGAACTTCGTTGACCAGTCAGAAACAACTACTCCGAGGGCAAATACCCCTACCGGCGTTGAACTACACTGATTGATCTGAGCTTTCGTTGGCAATGAAAATTGTTAGAAAGATTTTTCTAACAATTTTCATTGCCAACGAAAGCTCAGAACAATCAGTGTAGTTCAACGTCGGTAGGGGTATTTGCCCTGGGAGTAGTTGTTTCTGACTGGCCAACGAAGTTCATTCTGTGGACATTTCGAACAGGGGGCAGGCATTAAAACCACTTATATTCTCATCAGCTAACTAGTCACATTCATCCCTCAAAATGCCAGACAAAAAAAAAATGACTCCACTAAACAGGCCCTATCTCAGGGTCTAATAGCACACAGAACTAGTTACAAGTTTAAAATTATCACAAAGTTCCAGTTTATACTGAACAAACACTAATTTAAATTAATTATTTCCGCTATATTCATTTTTAATGATATCTGATATTTTTTCGGCAAGCATCACAGTAGGTGCGTTTAGATGACCAGAAATATGATCTGGGATAACACTAGCATCGACGACTCTGAGTCCGTCAATTCCATGAACTTTTAATTCCGAGTCAACTACCGAGTTTTTGCAGCTTTTGCCCATTCTGGCTGTGCCAATGGGATGATACACCTAAAATATTTTCTGAATTGGGAAAAAGCATAACAAATGAAGTAATACTCTTACAGTGGTTGATAAATATCTTATAGAACAGTGCCACCATTTTCTGGAAAACTTGCTGTGCAACTCATCGCAACCGGGCATTGGCAAATCTAACATTTGAATACCAATATTTTCGAACGCTTTGGTTTTTGTCACTTCTAGTACTCTTTGAACTCCCTCATAAATAGTGTCCACGTCCTTCTCATTGGCAAGATAATTTGTATTGATTAGAGGAAAATCACTTGGATTTTTAGATTTGAGTGTTACTTCTCCCATGGATTTAGGATGTAACAACATTACCCAAATCATAAAATCAGTTAGCCCATTGAGAGATTTAAAAATGTCAGTGTATTTCTTATTGTACCTATAGAAAAACACATATTTAAAGATGATTCTTTAAAATTTATCAGTAAAATAACTAACCCTTGAATAGCTCCCCAGTTACTGCCTGCAGCAGGAGGACCAGAAACAAGGATTTCAATATCTGGCCTTTCATTGGTATCATTCTGTAAATTGTAATAAGTGACTAATTGAAATCCAGTTGCAGCAACTAATGGTCGCTTGTTTTTGTACCAGAGTCTTAATTGTTCTTCCAAAGTTAAGTTATAATATACATGATCTGTTCTGTAAAAAAAAAATATCATAAATTTGAAGTGTTTATTAATAAATATTCTTGCCTGTAATACAATCCTGCAAAAAACATATGATCCTGAAAATATTTGCCTACTGGTAAATTTTTAATCACTTTTATCTTGTGTTTTCGGAGTTCTTTGACCGGCCCAATACCAGACAGCATCAATATTTGGGGAGAATTTATAGCACCAGCTGAAACAATAACTTCCTTAGATGCTGTTGCAGTATATACTTGACCATTCTTAACAAATGTGATTCCTCTTGCTCTATTCTGCTTTATATCAATTTTTGTTACGAAAGAATTTGTAGTTATGTGAAGATTGGAACGATTCTCAGCTGGTCTTATATAAGCGTATGCTGTACTAGAGCGAATATTTTTGTCTAAATATACTTGAAATCTACTTATTCCGTATGAGCTTTCACCGTTATAATCCAATTCTCTGGCTCCCAGCTCTTTGAAACTATTTATCAAATCTACCGTCTAAAAAAAAAAATTGGCATTTTCGCAAAAGCCACAAACAAGTTTTACCAATCCTGGTGTATCTTCAGGAACATCAATGCTTTGAGGTCCTTCAAATCCATGATAGCTACGGTCTATATCTATTGTAAACTCAGCTCGTTCGGATTTTTTAAAATATGGTAAAACATCTTTGTAGGACCATCCAGATGCCCATTTGTCATAGTCTTTTGGATGACCTCTCGCATACAATCCTCCATTAAGGCTGCTACAGCCTCCCAACATTCTACCTCTTGGATAAAAACATTGTCGATTATCTGAGGCTAATTTCAAGGTTATTTTAGATTTTGTTAATTAAATTTTTGTTACCAAAACAAGCATGTTTTTGTGTAGTCGTATTATATCCCCAACTCCAAATACTTCGGCCAAGATATCCATTAAGGCCGAGTATCGATGAAGTATCTGGTTCTGGAGGACCAGCTTCTACTAATAGAACTGACCAATTTTCTTCTGTTAATCTATTGGCTAGAACTCCACCTGCAGTTCCTCCTCCAATAACTATAAAATCATATGTTCCATAATCTAAAAATTACCTATTTGCTGAAAAAGTTTGTGTTAGTATGAATAAAACGTGCTTCACCTTCTTCATTAGAGTAATAATTGTTATTCGAAAAATATTCATCATTATTTTTGGGAATTTGATATGTATCAAAATTTGTTATCAACTTCTCAACCTCTTCATATAATTCAGAAAAATTTGATAAACTTGCAATACTATTTGGCATCCAAAAAACCAATAAAAACCAACATTTCACCAGAATAATTTGCTCAAAAAGCATTATACTGTATTGTTGATACGGAAATTTGAAATTGAAATACCAATCACACGACTAACCGTTTTTATGTATTTTTTTTAGACAGATAATACTTTAAAGACTGAACAAATGTATGTCAATATATGTAATTGGAATTTTTGTTTCATTACCTACTTATTAGATAGTACTGGCTGCCGTTCATTATTAATGACTTGCGTTTAACATGACCAATAAGGAAATTGAACTTTTTTCTATGCCAAAGTTGTTAAGCCATTATTTCGCTTATCGATCTAATTCTATTGGTTAGAATTTAAAATTATCACAAAGTTTGGGTTTATACTAAACCAACTACTTGCAAACTCTTATACATTCCAAATTAATTTTTTGCGCTATATTCATTTTTAATACTATCTGATATTCTTTCGGCTATCATCACGATATGTGCGTTTAGATGACCAAAAACATAATCTGGAATTACACTAGCATCCACTACTCTGAGTCCGTCAATTCCATGAACTCTTAATTTTGAGTTAGCTACCGAGTTTTTGCAGCTTTTACCCATGTGCCAATGGGATGATACAGCCGGAATATTTTCTAAATTGGAAAAAAAGCATAACAAATAAAGAAATACTCTTACAAGTGGTTGATAAATATTTTATAGAACAATACCACCATTTCCTGGAAAACTTGTTGTGCAATTCATCAAGTTGGGAAGTCTATCAAATCCATGATAAGTACGATCAATATCTTAGTGCAAGAAAAATAGCATTAAAGGTGGAAAAAATTTTTTACAAGCCATTTTGTGCGGCAACTCATAGAGAAATGTGTCCTGAACAAACTCCCAGAAGTCCCATGAGATTCGGTTATGGCAAGTTAGAAAAATATGGCCGCCATTTTGTTTTTTTAGTTTTTCGCGAATAACTCGGAAAGTAGACATTTTTTGATAGAAATTTAACAGACCTTTATTAAAGAGCTTGAAAAACTACATCTAAAAAGATGATAATTAGCGAAATTAATCACATAAGTTAACGACAACATCATAAAAACTTTATTATTGAGAATAAGATATATAATAGTTATTTACATTACAAGTGCGTTTATGAACATGATTACAATAACGAGTGTGAAAGATTAGAACGACGAGGTTGTAGACCGAGTCGGTCTAATCACACGAGTTTTGTAGTCATATTTAAACGCGCGTGTGATGTACAACGTTTTATCTACAAAGCGAAAAATAAGAATAATTTTTCAATCATTTTCGTTTATTAGTAGTTGTCTACCTTCATTTTACCTTTACAGGTTTAACGTTGACATTTGTCAAATCACCAAAAATAGTTGTGTTATGGACTCATAACCTAGTCTATAACACCACTAGTTGTGTTATGAATTCATAACCTAGTCCATAACACCACTAGTTGTGTTATGAGTCTCATGACATAACTCAAATACTAGAAAAATGGTTATGTAAAAACGCCATAACCAAACGCTTGTAGATAAAAAAAATTAAAAATACAAACACACAAAAATGTTACTTGATCGCAAATGAGTTGAAATTAGAGTTTACTCAAGCATACAGCTTTCTTCTTCTTCTTCTTCGTTGGCTTCAGGTATACATTTGTTGCCAAAACTGATACCAAAACATTGGCCACACTTAGAGGAACACTTTAATCCAAGCTTTATACAAGAACAGCTTTCACAACAAGTTCCATCTATAAAATTACAAAAGACCTTAAAGACCATTTTTAGAATATCTTGTGGGGCTATTTCTTTTGTACACCTTTTTGGAACAAGACTTCCATACTTTCCCCCTTCTTCCTCCTCCCAACCATACTCCAAAGGATTAAGCTTTTGACCAGTCCATTCTTGAATCTTAGGAAGAAACCAAAAAGGAGTTAATAATTTGCAAGATTTTTCAAAAAATATATTTACCTGATTATTCCACTCATGTGTTAGAAATCCCATAAGGCAAGTGAAAATTTTCAAAATTACAGCGAAAATTCTTTTGTCCATTAGTTTAACAAGAGAGAATTACAGCGATTATACAACTCACTGTACATTATTCCCATATGACACGAGAGGCTTAATAAGTGATAAGCCTTTTGGGATTATCGCGCTTGGTGGCAATATTGTCAATTTGTCATTAATGATTATAAAAATTGATAAAGTATTGAAGTTTAGTTCGTTGTATAACCTTTTGAATACCACTCGATGTTTCAGGATTACCTAATACTTTTACCTGACACTCAACGCGTTACCAGCAACACCACTCCTCCTTCGGAGTCGTGGTGTTGCTGCGTAATGCGTTTCGTGACAGGTAAAAGTATTATTCGGTAATCCTGAAACCTCTTGTGGTATTACATTCGATAATTCTCCCATGTTATTGTATTCATGGTTGTCATGCTAATTTTTGATACAAACAAACGGTTGCTGTTAGGAACCATTTATTTGTATTGATTGTTAAGTTTTTCAAATCGTTATTAAATATCTGTACCTCAGAGGTAAATTGTATTAAGTCATAATATTATAATTTAATATACTGACACTAAGTGATTCTAGTACAATTTACCTTTAAGCCTGGTGAGTCACTTGACGCAGGTTCCAACTGGGTATTTCGGTTGTCTTGAAAGCTAGGTGTATAAAACTTTTTCCGGAGGTCAAGTAAGTCATTGTTTACCTCTGAGGTACAGATATTTATTTGCATATTTTCCGGTTCGGTTCGGTTCGCCGATCTCTACCAGGCGGGCTTGTTAGCTCCAGTTGGTAGAGTGTCGTACTAGCAATGCGGAGGTCGCAGGTTCAAATCCTGCACAAACCCCAACTTTTTCAATTTTCCTTTGACTTTAATTTCCACAAAATTTTCTCTGACTCAATACAGTTTACCTCTGAGGTACAGATATTTATTTGCATATTTTCCGGATTTTCATTCGAGAAATAATCTTCTAAATACCACTCAAGCTTGAAAATGGACTAGATAGTTTTTCACTCATGCGTGTTTTCTTTGCAAATTTCACTCGTCCTACGGACTCGTGAAATTATTGAAAACACGCAATCGTGAAAAATTATCGGTAATTTTGAAGCTCTCGTGGTATTATCCCCGATTATACAACTCACTCACTCATTATTCCCATATAACCAGATATATTAGGCCGGAAAAAGCAGCATCTGCTGAAAAAGTCCCCATCAATATCGCGCTTTCGTTTTTAGATATTCAAGGTCAAAAGTCATGGACGTCATTTAATAACGATTGATAGCCAAATGACATTTGCTTCATTGCTTATCTGTCAACCATGATCGACCGGTTAATGGCATTTAATCGATGTAAGTCAGTTCAAATTTAGTTGGCAAGAATTCTAGACGTTTCGTTTTGTGATTTAATTAGCCATCGCGATGGATGAGTCTTGTTTTATTTGCAGTCAATCGCTCTTGAAAGGTGTTACAGTGACTGTAAAACTCGGTATAGATGCTTTGAGAGACTCAAGTGTGGAAAGAAAAGATGAACATGCAGAACGTTTAAGGGATACAGATTCGGTAACAGTACATAAAAACTGTCGCAAGGAATATACATAGTAGCATCTAAAAGTCCCTCATTTTTCTCGACAAAAGTGTGGTGACTTGCTTACCCTGCACTTGGATCGCGTATTAGGCTGACAATAATTTGCGTGGGTCTCCTCACTATCGGGATCGCTTTAGGCGGCCAGTGGACGAGCCCCCCTAGTATTGTTGGTGCGAGCTGCTGGAGCATAGTGTCATCTTAAAGACGACGAGATGACGATGCTGACGGTACATCTCAGTATTTTCCGCAAAACACGCTCTAGCTTGGGATCTTTTGATTTAAAAACTTTGTGTTTTTTTTATTGTGAAGAAGCCAACGAAGAAACAGAGACAAAGAAAAACTAAGAAATATCATGTACCTATAATTAGAAGTTTGCCAATGAGTGGAGAACCACGCAACTTCCTCTAACAATACCAATCAAAAAGATCTGTAGGGTCGTGGTGGCTTAGTTGGTTAGACCGTAGCACCGGCAATGCTGAAGACGCGGGTCCAAGACCAAAATTTTCCTTAATTCTCTCTTCATTTTCAATTTCCACGCTTTTCGGTTGTTGTAACCGACAGAACTTTATTCCTTTTCGACCATAATTTGTTTCCGCGATACTCAAAGTGATATTTTAAGTATAGCTTGGTTTAAAAATAAGAAATCTCAACCGGCAAAAAAATATCTTCGAATTCTAGGTACAAACTGTAGTGTACCGCTATTTGTCATGCTATTATGGCTACGATACATGTACAATCCTTCACATCTAACGTTTTCTAGATAATTTGCCAACTCTTGGATTTAGCGCGTCGTACAGAGAAACATTATTGTACGAAGTTGCTGCTGTCTACCAACCACAACCAGATATTCTATCATTTGAAACTAGTGCTTTTATTCAGTATTCCGCAGGCAATGCAGATATCAATGTCTACACAATAGATGGCCGCAACACGATTCACATTATGGGGCTTCTTGAAATGGTAACACCAAGCAGCGCCGTTGCTTCTGAAGAATCCATGAAGAAATATATCACGATGTTATGGTCAATCCATCGGTCGGTACCAAAATAACGACCTCCCGGTGAAACGGGAGACGGATGATGACGTAATCTTTACGGTCAGTTGCTGATGCGCAAAACGGTCCCTGCTCAGGCGCCAAATTTGTCACGGGTTTTCCTAGGTTCTTCCTTAAGTTGTAGCAGTTTAACAGTCGGTATTTATCTTTTGGTTAATCCAGCGGTAATCTCGGGTGCCACCTTCAAAATTATAATGGTTGAGAGCCCACTGCCCCACTAGCACCAGGTAGCTTGTTACAGTGGAGAAAAAAAAACAGGGACCAATGCGCAGATAAAGAAATAAAACAACTATCGAAGAAATAAGCCCTAAGTTCAGCACCAGCCCCCGAAAGTTTCTAGCGACAAATTCGGAAACGCGTGTCTCAGCAGGGTAGAAAGTATAACTGATCTATGTCCGTACGTTCAACCAGGACATAAAGATTGCGGTTATCCTGCTAGACTTGTCTGTACAGCCGAGACTTGTCCTGATCAGTCTACCC